CACTTTTCTTCCGCTTTGATCAGGTTGCTCTAATCGGACCAAACAGTTTTATCAGGATGGTTCTAGATGTGGTTGCGATTTGTCTTTATTTACATTTGTTATCGTCAATTGCTGTTGGCTGTTGATCTTGTTGTGTGAAAGTCAATTTATTTATGTTTGCACCAGTTATTATCGCGATCTGAATTAATTGGTTTGATCCATGTTTTGTCCGTGTTTGGTGGCAATTGTTTGCCAATCTTATCCGTGTCGCATGATGGACTTGGAAAACAAGCGAAAAATAGCAAATAATCGATATAAACTGCACAACAAAATCAACGTTACACAGCTCTAACTTTTCACTTTCTGGTTTGCTTTCTGTTTGAAGCATTATTTAGCCCCATTTATTTTGTGTTAGTCCATGTTTTTATAAACATTAAGAGTAACAGACAAATTTTCTATTGAGTGGCAAATTTAACAAAGTTCGGTATGCTCTCAGTTAGTCAAAAAGTTTAAAGATAAACCAAATAACTCGAATCGGTTTTGGAATTTTCAGGTCAACTTTTCTAGTTACAGGGTGGTCTCAAAAAATCAACTATTTGGTCTTACAGCGATAACTTGTCTGCTCTGCCCGATCTAGAGCTCATGTTGATGCGAAAATTTCATAGACAGTTTAAGACGATAATTCGATATAAAAAATTGCATGAAAAATTATTCAAATCAGAATTGCCCCCGAAATGTATGATTCTGGAAGAATTTCAGCTAAGTGAAGGTAACTTTCAAATGTTTCGTTCATTCATACAGCCCGGAATATTGAATTTGGTCTGAAGAAACTGGGAAATTTTAGCTTCAACATGAGCTCTTGATTGTAAAAATCGGTTCAAGAGAAAAAAATTCTCACTACAAATACAAACCAACATGTTGATTTTTTGGGACAACTCTGTAAATAAACGAGAAAGAAAAATTCAATAAATGTCGAGATGCGAGGTTTATCTGGATGCCTGTGGTATGTTAATGCAAAAAAGTTTTTTGTGCAACAGAGAGCATGTGAAACTTTCACCAATTTTGCATAGATTCAGTTGCCACCCTGTAGAAACTTTTTCTGAAGCATTTATTTAAATGTGTTTTTTATATTTTTTAACAATTTAGTTTTTCGGATATATTCACTTGTCGATTCGATAGGGTCAACTGTTGAGATTTTAGTAATTCACTTGAGGCATAAGAAAGTTGCAATTTTTCACATTTTTCTGAAATATATTAAAATGTAATGAGCGAAGGATGGTTTGGGTCTTAAATGTTATGCTCTCCTGGAAGAATCGACCCGTAAGTCCTGCCTCTGCAAGATATCGGGTATCTGGAAAATGCACTTGAAAGATCAGAACCTCATCGTTTGTCCGTTCTCTAACTGTATAATCGGAGAAAACGGCAGTGTTTTGAATGTATGGCAATTCATTGCAATAATAATCGCCTTTGATAGTTGAAAACCTCTTCTCTTTCTGGTTTTTTTTTAAATTGATTCGATGCAAATTTCTTCACTGCCATTGCTTGACTTCTCTATCTAACTGGATACTTTTTGGTGTCGGTTCTTTCATAACTGCGCCCCCTCAACCCTTAACAGTTAGTTTAGCTGAAGGATACACTTGTAAACTGACACTGTAGAGTAACGACACCATCAGTCGGTATAACACCTCTATTTAAATCACCCTCCTTCACCAGGCTGTACCCGAAAAGATAATCCTCCGACACCCGGAGGGTTCTTGGCCGAATATCAAAGACATTGACGAGGATGAGGTCGTGCTGCCAATCAAAAAGAGTCGCCGAAAGTCCTGGCACGCGATTAAGTTCGAAAAAAAGCGCAGGAAGGAGATGGAGGACCAGTTTGGATCGCCGCCACAAGCTCGCCGAGAGAAACGGGGGTCTTGGTGGAATATATTTGGTGGCGCGCCTAGGTAGACGACCTTTTTTTTATTTTTGTGATTTTTTTCCTACTAACACTCTTAGAGGCTTGCTAACAATGTCCAAAGTGTTGGTTTTTTGCGGGCAAAGAGCCGATATAACAGTACCCATTTCCTTGGGCAGTCAGCCGGAATCGCGCTACATCATTTGGTGCAGTGCAGTAACCTTCGCAATTGTCACGCCTGTTAAATCACTCAGTATTGTAATCGATTTCTCGCTATTTTTATGACTACACCGATTTTTCACCAGTCGAGGAGATCGTGTCGAATGTCTCCTAAGTACAAAAATCTCACAGCAAACGACAACCAATCGAAAGGATTCACAAGAGCGAACAAAGCAAAAATCATTCGCATGAGCCATAAAACTGATAATGGGTGTGCAACAAGGCACCCATACCTACCTTACGGTCAAGACGTTGTTTCCGCCATACGAAATAACACTAAAAATACCATGCGTAAGTATCGGTGGGCGTAAACTGGTTCCATGGTTGGGTCAATTCAACCAGCTGACAAGTGAAAGAAACCAGCCAGACAATTTGCATTTGCATTTCCATTTGCATTGTTTGGCACCACAATGGTTGTGCAAAGAGTTGTAAAGTGCATTTTAGTGGAGAAACAACGATATATTTTAAAGTTTAGTTGCGTCTTGTTTCTCTAACGGGATTTGGATCGATGTAAGAAAGAAAAGCGTGTTTTTTAAAGTTGCCGACGTTTCGCCATTTATTTAGCCCTGCGGAGGTCTAAATAAATATGGCGAAACGTCGGCAACTTTAAAAAACACGCTTTTCTTTCTTACATCSATCCAAATCKCGTTAGAGAGACAAACGATACGATTGYGAAGGATCGAAARAAAAACATGTCTAATTACATTTTAGTTTTGGCTTGTTTTTATTGGCCACCCTATATATATGGAGCGCTTAAAAAAACTCATGCGATTTTTAAGTAAATATTTTCATATTCGTTTGTCGTGGACTGAATAACAATTAAGTTCCTTAACACTTTTATGCTCTTTTTATTGCTTTATTTATGCTTTCTTTATTGCGTTAGATTTTTATTTAAGTTTGCGATTGTTTTCACGCTAACAAGGAAATTTATACAGGGTGAGTTAGAGGTTTCTGCCACACGCACATAGGAAGATTTTGCGCTGATGATTTTTATGTGCAGGTTGATGCCTTGGACAATGTAAAGTAGGCTTTATTTCTTAAATGTTCTCGATCGCTCGTTTTATCTGGTTTCTTTGCACCAAGCAAGAAACCTTTCGGGCATCTTCTAAACCCTTTCAGATGAATCCGTTATTTTTCGGCAATTCGAGAATTTTACAAATGCTTTTGAAATGAGAAAACCTCTGCTTTTCTAGCAAGATTTCCGCTCTGCACGTTTCAAGTTTGTTATTCAAGGATGTTGACTTTTGTTAAACAAACGCACAAGAATATTCATTCATGAAACACTCTGTGGTTCTACCAATGGTTCCGGTAGTTTTAGCTGGCAAATCGGGTCAGAAAACACCACCAACCAGACAACATTGATTCTAGACTTTAAGTAGCTGCAATACAAGTGTAATGTTTGTTATTAGTAGCACGACCCTGGTTCTTAGTTCACTAAGGTTAAGTTGAAAATAAGTACCCGGGGTACTCAGGCTATTATTAAATTTCAATTAGTGTTTTTTTTTAAGTCACAGCGACCCGGTGCGGAATTCCTTCGTCACTCGACCTTATTGGAAGAAATAAAAACGTCCTACTACTCTACGACAGTAGCGGTACCGCCGGTACTTTCTCTTTAACACCACGGAACATGCATATTCGCAAGTAAAATAATATTTGAGTGAATAGTCCAACTACTGGTGATTTTTGGCCGATTCCATTCACCTTTGATGAATGAAAATATTCGCCAAACCGCAGACCGAAACGAATTTCCAGCTTCATTATTTAAACAGCATTTACATAGTGATGAAATGTTGTTGCGGGGGAATTTTCATAACCCGCCATAATTCTAATGTTGCACATTGTCGAGCGTTTACGGCAAAATGCAGCATCGATTGTGGATTACATCTCAAACCTTTTGCAAACGTTTCTCAAACTAATTAACGTTATTGTGCGACTTCTTTGTCGTCAAATGTTAGGGCAAACACTAAAGGTTTTTCTCCACAAGTGATAATTGATTATGCAATAGATTATTTAATTTTTTCTGTTGTCGTTTAATCAGTTCCTTTGGTCTTGTGGTGGCACGAAAATACAAGCGGAAGCTGTACAACACACAATGTGCTAAAACCGTCGTTTTATTGCACATTAATTTGCGTCGAGCAGCAAGTTTTACTGGCTGCAAACTGCAAGTTTATGCACGCACTTCGGTTTTGTTGTTACAATTATATTTGTTTATTTTTTAAGCGCAAATTGAATTTCCTGCGCGTTTCCAAGCATTCCATACATAGCTTGAAATCAATTCGAATATCAACAATGCTAATCGGTTACCGATTCAATTTACTTCAACAGCCCACGATTAAATGCATGCTTATAATATAGGAAATTAAACATGTTGAAATTGGCTTTTCAGGGCCAAAGTCGATTGCTACATGGCAAAAAGCCTCTCTTTGCGGAAAGCAGGATTTGATGATTATTATATCACATTGTTTGATTTGTTGATTAGTGGCTCATTTACTGCTGGTTAACACCTGGGATTTAGGGAATGTTTTGAACGTTCATAAACAAATTGAAATTTTGGCATTCCACCGGTTCTAAATTGCATTTTTAAATTAATTAGGAACTGGTTAAGGCTTTCGCGGTCACCGTCTGAAGAATAGGGGATTTTTGGGTATCTTGGACTGTCGTCGATTGGGATTTGGTACGCACCGCCACAGTAATAACCCAAAGATCACCAATTCTTCATATGGTTTTTCAACTTGATTTCGATCCCATTCAGCTTCCTCATCATATTTAATCACTGGGTACTGTTGTGGCACCTACCAATCAAATGAACCAAGCATGATTTTATGTTTTAAGCACTTTTTTGCACGGATTTTTATTTCGCTTTGCATGGATTTTTTTCACCGTTTATTTTTTGCCTTCATCACAGGTCACGCAGGGCGTCACAAGACATTACGAAACTCCCAAAGGATTTGCCATTTACCCGGTAAGTAACGCATTGTATCATCAAAGATTTGGTCCATTTCACAGCATTATTTTCAATGTGCATGATTATGAATGCAAAATATTCCAGTGCTGATCAACTAAGCAAATGCCGATATCATGCGGGGTTTTATCAATTGATTAACACTGTGAAACTAACGCAAGTCTTTCCGGATCAGGGTTAAGTAAATTGGGCAATGCTATTTGCGAGAAATTAGTGTTCCATCGCAATCACGTCAATTCGACGAAATTGTCTCGATTTTTTGCAAATTTTAGAAAGTTTAGGAAAACGTTCGTGATAGGTGAACAATACGCAATTGTTGGTCGTGGTGCTGAGCCATTTCAGGACTTGTTTTTAGTCTATTGGCCTTCACCAGCAGCTGATATCGCCCTCAAGAGCTGAATGAAGGTGAATGAAGCCAGAAACCGGTTCTGATAATGTCTTGGTAGATTTGCACCAGTAAAAGTACAACAAACGTTTTTATTTATTGTTTATTCATTTTTGAAATCATTGCACAATCGACTAAATTTCACCTGCATTGAGCAACGGTAAAGACTTGCAGCAAACATAAGGATTACAGAAGATGTTTTGCTAAATAAAGATGTTTTTCTAGGAGTAAAAGCCGCAGCGTTGACCACGGCATATCTTCGCCCTACGATCTCGCTGTTCTGCGTAGCAGCGTCGACCGGACTCTTCACAGAGGTGAGTCCAATTGTTTCATTTTATCAAACCGGCTGTTTTCAAGTAGCAAGGGCGATTTTTTTTATATGGATGCCTTCATCCACCTAAGGTCGACTTGGGAAGCGCATCCACCATTGTCAAGAGCAAATGGCTATTTTTAATTTTTTCTTCTGAACTGCGTGTTTGTCTATGTATTTGGACTTCTAGTTATTAAATCTTAAATTAAAATAAAAAAAATAAATCGTCACAGAAGGTATATGGCTGATTTTCTAAAAGTCTTTAAAGTAATCAAACGTTTTCATGTAGTGCATTCGCCATTGTCCAGAATAATACCGGCTGTAATCGAATGGTGCGCATTCGCCATTGCTGAGATTAATTTCCGTTAGTCCCGTAGAATGTTGAGTTTTCTTTCAGCACTCTGTTCAATTCAGGCACACCTCAGAAGGCGTAAGTCCCTCGTGTTTGCGAAACGTCAGGAAGAAATTATGACGGGCTTAAAATGAAGTGGCATCGACGAAATGAAATTATCATGTTATTCGAGATAATAATAATATATAACAATATAATATAATAATATACATAAACTTTAACAGATGGTTTTGGATGACAGTTGTGACCGTGACAGTGACCGCAAGGTGACACCGTTATCCTAACCTCAACTCATGTTATTGTCTCTTTTATTTTCCTTGCTTCATATTTGTCCATGGTTACCGGAGTTTTTAATAATTACGAAGGAACAGGTATTTACGTTATGTTAAATAGACAGATTACCTTGAAAAACATTGTTGCCATCCTTCTGATCTAGTTTTTTGTAAATATCTGAGTTTTTAATAACAATTAATTTTTTTAACTATTTTTCCTGTACTCCCAATACACCCCCAGACAACACCTCCAGAGTGATGTCGCCAATTTTGAAACACCCTGTATTTACAGTTGCTTTTTGGGTCCGTTTTCTAGCGGTCTGAGTGTTATTCGTAAGAATTCTGTTCCGCCACTGTTGTAGAAATATTATTGGTATTTATGGTGGTCATATAGATGGTGGCACTATTTTTCATGGGCCGAAGTTTCGACAATATTTAAGGCATCCTCAGGGCTCTATGAAGTCAGTGCCATATTTGCACCAAATGCACAAAAAGGGCAACATACCGTGTATTTTTAGACAAAAATTAAGTATTAATGGAACCAGTTCACCACTATTGAAGGAATACAGCCAAGAACACCAAACAAATTCTTTTCGCTATTGATAGTGTTTCTATTTATGGAAGTGAATTTATAAATGTGTAAAAAAGTGAGACTGTTAACATTTGGTTCCTCTGGTTTCTAAGCGCATAGTTTTATCTGCTATTTGATAGAACTTGTTTATCGATGTGTGTTTAATACAATTTCTGGCCCCTTGAAGAAAACACAGTTGGTTCATTAGTAAAGTGATTGCCCAGCAGTAAAAACAATATAGTTTCCCCAAGTTTGACCGGCTATTAATTAGCTCTACTGAGCCGCTTCTTATTTGCAGTTTGATTAAAAACTGATAAACTACGTCAAGCGAGAAGGTTTCGCGAAATGATTGCCATGCGGGGACAGTTTCAGAGTGTCGCGCCATAAGAAAGCAGATATCGAGCAGGTTCAACTAGCAAACGACTTAAATGCTAGCTATAAATTTTTCTCTATGTAAAACTGCATTAAAGGCAGCGTCCAGTCCAGCAGTGGTGCGGTGGCAATGGAGTTTGTTGAAAACTACTTTGATATCCCTCAACCACGCTCGTGCGCTTTCATTGATCGCAGTGAAGGTTTCGACAAGTTTATCGTCATCTATTACAATTCGCATATATTTCGCTTTGAAGGTGTCAATCAGTTGATATTTACCTGTTTTATTAGTACCTAATCGGTTCCTTCTCGTTGCAGATCTCGATGGATCCACCAATAGCTTATCGGGAAGGCGCAGCGGACCACCGGAAAACACCACGACCTATACGGTAAGTCTTTTAGAAACCGTTTGTACATAGAAACAGTTTGTGCAGAAACTGTTTGTAACAGGTTGTGGATAGGGATACTTTAACATCAGTGGCAGCTCGGTTCGATACAACTCCGTCTGAATTGACGAAGCTGAACAGATTGGCCACGCCATACATTTTTCCCGGGCAACAGTTGTACGTTCCTTTGCGCGATTCTGCTGAAAATGGCTCGGAAGGATCCACTCCAGTTGAGGACACCAATGACGATTTGCCTCCTGATGAAAAGGGTGAGTGTAAAAAAATTAATTAGCACTCAGAGTTTTCGACGTTTTGTAAAAAAATGCTAAGCTTTTCAAATGTTTAAGTGAATGCTACGAGAGAAAAATGTTTCTAATTTGTATTATCGTGCTTGAAAGACTGATAAGACATTGTCTGATAAGGTTCCGGAGTAAATAGCAGCTAATTTCGTGAAAACTTTAGATGCAGTCTAAACTGAGATTAAATAATAGGCAATAACTGTAAAATAACCGTCAGCATTTGTCGTTGGTGTTTCGTATGCATTCAGTGAGCGTATTTTCAATCTGCTGTTGGTGACAGCATGGATCTGGTATTTGATTTATACAATAAAATGGCACGTAAGTTGTGCGCAATATTTTTATTGGAGTGTTTGCTTATAAAGCGCTTTTATTCAGCGTCACGTGCTTGGCTTAAAAGTACTCCCTCTCGAACCTTTCCGATTTGCTGACTATCTATTCACTGTGTTTTAGAGCTGCTGGACAATCTGCGACCAGTTAGTCCCAAGCCTGGACATGTGGAAAGAGTCAGGACGCCCTCGTACAACCAGAGCGTTTCGGTGGAAAACGAGGAAGAGCCCACATCAGTATTCCGGGAACGGTTCCTCAAAATCAACGTCAAGCACATTACGGATGGTGAAGGGGTGGTGGCTGGCGTTCTTCTAGTCACCCCAAATGCTGTGATGTTTGATCCCAACGTTTCTGACCCATTGGTAAGTAAAACTCTTGGAATACAATCGTTTGTTTATTTCATATAAAATTTAATCAATGTAAATTGTTTTTTTTTTCAGGTGATTGAAAAAGGTCCTGAAGCTTACGGGGTGATAGCCCCTATGGAGTTCGTGGTGAATGTGGCCATCTACAGCGACATAGCACATATGCGAGTCAGCCACATGGAGAGCAACGTCAGTGAGAAGGCTGAAATCTACTATCCGAAAGGAGAGAAGGAACCCGATTCGTTGCTGGTTAAGGATGAAACGTTTCCGGAATTGGGTAAATACTCTTTAGACATTGCTGCAAACCGCAGCTAACTATTCGGTTTGCAGGGGCTGGAACTGATGATGCAGAGTCAGTGTGCTCGTGTACAGAGAGGGAAGGAAACGCGTTCCCTAAAGCGTTTGAGCGAGACCTGGTCACCCCCACTAACCTGGAAGATCCTGACAGCGAGCAGAGGGGCCTGGATGAGAGGCGGAAGTCGTTGCTGGATCATCATTGGCCAATGTCGTCGCGTGATAGACAGTGAGTCTCATTTGCACGGCTCTTGCGTTTAGTAATGGTAAAAATTAAATTAGGTCTATCGACACTGATGAAATGCCGGCGATTTCTACGTCGATGCACGAAGATCACATTGAGGAGGAGGAACCGCGCGACGACGAGCTGAAGGAGAGTTGCCACGACTCCGGCATCGACATCAGAGAGGCCCCATTGTTGCCCCTCATCCCCATCCCCATCAAAGAGGTTAGTGGACGCAAAGCTTCATTTCATTGTTATTCTAATCGGTAAATGATTCGCAGCATTACAGTGATGCTGATATAGTGTTGTCAAAAGAATGGGTGCCCCCAGTCACCATCGCCTCCACCCATCACTCGTTGAGCAGCGACACTGAAAGCCCAGCCAGGAAGAAAACAAACAGCGTCTCGTTCAGCTTGGATTCCAGCACAGATGCTGACGCGTCTACCACTCAGTGTTCCACCACCTTGCTCGATTCCAAAGAAGATACCGAAAAGTCTGAAAGTAGGAAGAATAAGGTAGTGATAATGCTAGTTCCTTCTTCGGGTGTTGCTAATTGCACCGCTCCTATTGCAGATGTTTAAAAGACTGTCCTATCCCTTATCCTGGATGGAGACCTTGAGTGGGGAAAAAGAAGATGACAAGTTTCCTAGTCACCCGCACACCGCGGACGCACAGCATTCTTCAGTGTTTGCTAAAGTGTTCTCAAGGTGAGTCGCGACTGGCTAACGTAGGTGTAGAATATTGGAAAAGGTTCATTGCTCAATCATCTTCATATCTGCACTAAATTAACACGTTAACCCGTTAGACTAGTGAAGCGCGTAAATTAATCATACTAACCATTAAGCTTCTCTCTTTCGCTGCCGACTGAAAGTTCGCCAATTAATTTGGTCGATTTCGGCACCGGACTGTTCGTGAAGACTCCGTCGGAGGACAGCGGCGGTTCAGGAGGGCCCCATTCGGGCGGCAGCAGCGGGCCGCCGCTGACGGGGGAAAGCCTCTCATCTTCGAGTAGCTTTTTCCCGACTAACATTATTAGTTCCATGGGAGCTTCGGTGGGCGCCCAAGTGGGTGCTTTGGGCTCCACTGTGGGGGCGCAAGTGGGCGCCTTGGGCTCCACAGTCAGTGCCGTAGGGTAGGTGTGCGTGTGTAGCTTAAATAGTTATTAAGTCCCTCAACGATACACACAATACGCACACTTGCACACTGTTACAAGTCGGCGCCAGTTTGAGAGGATTGATGCGAATCTCTGTTTTAGGAGATCGTCAGTGGGCACGTTTATACGGCAGCCAACTGAAAGCAGTTCGAAGAAGAAGGACCCTCCGCCGAAGCTGGACTACAGATCGATGGTTTCCGTCGACGATAAGCCGGATTTATTTGCGTCTATTGATAGTAAGTATTTTATTTACGTTTATTTTGTTATTTAGTCAGGCAAAATTAGGCCAACACTAGATTGTCGTCTTTGTCTGGAATGAGTCGCTCTATACCAAACTAGTTGTTTATTAAATCTTGTTTGCATTGGGTCGCAAAAGTTGCGAAGAATATTGCTTTTTAAGTGTAAAGTCTCACTAAATATCCAAAGTGATTTTTTCCATAGCGGTTGCGCTCAAATTCGCTCGCTCCGGCAATCTAGTGCTAGCAACAGTTAAAAAACACTTGTATACGTTTTGCATGTGATATAATCATTCAAAAATACCGATTACTGAATTAAAATTGAATTGTGAAGGATGTTCAGGAACTAGTAAATTGCACATTCCAAGTGTTTTACTTGTTTCGGAACATCCGGTCGACAGGGATTTAACTCAAACTAACACTAACGAATCATTCTAGGATAACTAGTGCTTATTTTCTGTTTTTGCCGCAGTTCGATCACCAAATTATGGGTTGAATTCGTTTGGTAGGTGCAGAGCATGTCTATTTAACAGCATGAGACTTCTATCTACTTTTAAAGTGTACAACTTTTATTTGTGACTATCTAGGAACTATCATAGTGCTCGATTGGTGTACCGATCAAGTTGAGTTTCATGTTAGGTTGTTTCTCTTCCATTCATTCAGTGTATGTTTAACACAACTCCATTGAACGGATTCTAACAGCAATCCTTAACAGTTTGTCGATCACATTTTGCCCCGGCTTGTGTTTACGTGTGCCTCAAAAAATCCAGATTCGCTCAGTCGATAACACTGATGGAATTTGTTTTAGAGCTGATCCCGCGGCCTGCTCGGTCGTGCGAGGATCCTCCTCTTTATCTACGCCTCAAAATGGGCAAGCCAATCAACAAGAAGATTCCACACTCGACGCCGCTGATGTCCTACGGGAAGAAGAAGATGCGTCCCGAGTATTGGTTCAGCATTCCGAAGAACAGAGTGGACGAGCTCTACAAATTCATCCAAGCCTGGGTGCCTCACCTCTATGGGGAACTCGATGAGGAAAAGGTAACGATTTTTCTTATTTGGAGTTACCGGGCAACAAATTGAGCGTTAATAGTAGTTTTCGATACAAGGGCGAAAAATGTCGTTTTTCGAACGACGACGGCGTTTGACGTCAATCCGTCAGGAGTTCGAAAAACAAATTTTCGCCCTCGTATCGAACACTATTTTTTATTCGAATGAAAGATTACACGAATAATAAAATGCAT